TCCTTATCAGGCCTGAGGACAATTGCCGTTGCATGTGGGGTGTGGCATACTTCTGCTGTAGTTGAAGTTATTGTGACACAATCTAGTGCGAGCATTTCATCTGGCAAACTGTTTACGTGGGGTGATGGAGATAAAAATCGTTTGGGGCATGGAGATAAGGAACCCAGGCTTAAACCCACATGTGTGCCAGCACTAATTGATTATGATTTTCACAAAATTGCTTGTGGTCACAGCCTTACTGTTGGTTTGACCACTTCAGGACAAGTTTTCTCAATGGGAAGTACTGTTTATGGCCAACTTGGGAATCCCAGTGCAGATGGAAAGATACCTTGCTTGGTAGAGGATAAGCTTTTTGGGGAATCCGTTGAAGAAGTTTCATGCGGTGCATATCATGTGGTGGTATTAACATCAAAAAATGAAGTTTATACATGGGGAAAGGGCGCAAATGGTAGATTGGGCCATGGTGATGTTGAAGATCGGAAGACACCAACTTTGGTAGAAGCTTTGAAAGATAGACATGTGAAATATATAGCATGTGGTTCAAATTACACAGCTGCCATTTGTCATCACAAATGGGTTTCTAGTGCTGAGCAGTCACAATGCTCTGCTTGCAGACAGGCATTTGGGTTTACACGGAAGAGACACAACTGTTATAATTGTGGACTTGTGCACTGCCACTCTTGCAGTTCAAGAAAAGCATTAAGAGCAGCACTTGCACCTAATCCCAGTAAACCATATCGTGTATGTGATTCATGCTATGCAAAACTGATCAAGACATCAGAAGCTAGTAATAATAATAGGAAAAATGCTATGCCTCGCCTCTCAGGTGAGAACAAAGATAGGATTGACAAGAGTGATATGAGAATATCTAAGTCTGTGCCTTCCAATATGGATTTGATAAAGCAATTAGACAACAAAGCTGCTAAACAAGGAAAGAAGGCTGATACATTCTACCTTGTTCGATCCTCTCAAGCACCTTCACTATTGCAGCTTAGAGATGTTGTATTATCAACTGCTGTTGATCTGCGACGAACAGCTCCTAAACCTGTCCTTACTGCTTCTGGAGTGAGTTCCAGATCTGTGTCACCTTTCTCAAGGAAACCAAGCCCTCCTCGATCTGCAACGCCTGTTCCTACAGCATCAGGACTTTCCTTTTCCAAAAGTATTACTGATGGTTTGAAGAAAACAAATGATCTTTTGAATCATGAAGTGCTTAAACTACGTTCACAGGTAAAAGCCATTTCCCCCCTCCTGATTGTCATTCCCTTTCCATCACCCCTCTCCCCTGGCGTAAAGATAAGAGACAATCCGTTTAAGACAAGAAGATCCCAAAACAGCAAGGAATTTCCCACTCCAGAACCATAGGAGATTTTCTCATTTTTTAATTGGTAGGGATAAAAAAAAAAAAAAAGGAGAATAGTCACAGAGTTCTTTAAAAAGAAAATTCTCCTCCAACTTGTCCTGTTCCTTTTGGCTCATAAAATTTGTGCACTTCTGATGAATTTGGCTTTATGACGGAGTATGATCTTATCTTGATGTCTAATAATACAGGTTGAGAGCCTGAGGCAGAGATGTGAACTCCAGGAATTGGAGCTTCAGAAATCTATGAAGAAAACACGAGAAGCTATGGCAGTGGCTGCAGAGGAATCTGGTAAATCTAAAGCGGCCAAAGAAGTCATCAAGTTACTTACCGCCCAGGTCATTTTCTGAATGCATTTTCCCCTATTCTACCAAGCTTTCAGTCTCTGGAGCTTCTGGTTGATCTTTATTGGAGTACAAAGAGAAGAATTCATTTCTTACAAACGATCACTTTGACTATCACGCTGTAAAGCGTGTGGTCTTTGTGTTTGATGCATAAAATATTAATACATAAAGAATTAACTTGTGGCTCTTGGTGTGGTTGAATGAATGATGATGCGTATAATCTAGAGCAATAAGAGGAAATGACATGGACTTCTAATAGACATATTCACTATATTATAATTGTTTTTTTTTTTCCTCAATGCTTAACCATCCTTTGAAATATTTTTACAAGAATACCTGTGGTTCTAATAGTAGTTTATATCCTATAATTGTTCCAGCTTAAAGATATGGCTGAAAGGTTACCTCCTGGAGTATATGATGCTGAGAAAATGAGATCAGTTCATCTTTCAAATGGTTTGGAGTCAAACGGCGTCAACCATTTGAATATGAATGGAGAGCGTCATTCACGATCTGATTCACTTAGCAGCTACTCCTGTGCATCTCCCACGGCATCTGATGCTGCTGCTTGGCAAGGAAGCTATGGCGCAGCTCATTCATCCAGGGAGCTTTCTGGAACGAATGAAAGTATTCTGCAACAAGATAGAATTGACAGTCGAGATTCTAGACTGCCAAATAGTGGAAGAGCTCAGCCAGCAAGCAGTAGTGCCTCGGTGACAGCTGTTGGCAAGGAGCTCGAGTCTTTACAAGATGGTGAAAATAATTCTAGAGCAAAAACTTCTGTACTGGCTAATGCTACTCAAGTTGAAGCTGAATGGATTGAACAATATGAGCCTGGTGTATATATTACTCTTGTGGCTCTACGGGATAGTACTCGGGATCTAAAACGTGTGCGCTTCAGGTGATGTTTCTCTTTGTTTCTTTTTGGGTTTCAGCATCTAGAAATACAGTGATTTTTGTCTCTTTGGTGTGACTTGCAATTTGACTAGTTTCTGATTGAATTATTGGGTGAAAATATGCAATCCATGTGCTGAAGTTTAATTTGGACTCTAAAAAATAAAATAAAAAAGGGCCTCCATGATATATCTAGAACATGAACTCATACAATCTTTTTGGACAAACTTGAGTGGTACTAATAATTTCTGTCAATTCTTTTACAATTATTTATAGTTATAATGCCCATAATGTTGAACTTGTAGGGCAGACTTGTTAGAAATTGAATGGCTTTTTTTGTGTTAGTTCCTCCTTGGTCGGTAGTTTGCTCTACCCCTGCCCTTAGGTTGCCTTCTTCTGTTATTTTAATATACTCAAAGGTTCCATATTAAAAATTGTAGGGCAGGGACACTCTTAGATTTCTTGAATAATTACTCTAAACTATGTCGCTCATGGTTTTCGACATCTAATGCCTTGTATTAGAATCTGAGGTCGAGTTTAAAAAGATCCAATGCGCTGTTCATATAATGTGTGTTACAATTGCATTTACAGCCGGAGAAGATTTGGAGAGCATCAAGCAGAAAATTGGTGGTCAGAGAACCGTGAAAAGGTATACGAGAGATATAACGTTCAGAACTCCGACAAGTCCTCAGTTTCGGGACTGACTTCACAGAGGGCGGATGATGCAATTTCAATAGCTTCCCAGCAACTTTAGCAAAGGGAGCGAATGAATCCAGTGCAGTCCTACTCCAAGCCAGCCATTTTACAGCTTGAAGATGATCAGAAAATGGTATTGGAAAAGTAGAATCTATTGACCTTTGTTCATAAAAGTTCTTTCCTTCTAACCCTTCTCTCATATTATTTTGTCCAATTTATTTATGGGTTGCCTGCCTCTACCCCTTACGACCTGTTGAATCTTTAGTGTATATAAAAAATCATCCATTAAGATTATAGCAGCCAAAGAAAAGAAATTTTTGTTTCTTTGTTTCTTCACCCTCACTATAAAACCACATTCTTTCTCCCTCCCTAGATCATTTCTGAAATCAGAATTTGGTTCTTTAGCAGCTGCAATGTCCTTGTCCTTGTCGTTGTCGATGTCGTTGTCTTTGTCGCTCGTGTACTGAAGTTGATCGCGTCAATGTCTTGGTTGGCATAGCCATTAGCTCATTCTTTTTAACCTCTTATGCACACAGGAACTGTCTCTTTTGTGTTTTTTCTCATTGTAATGGATGATGTTCGTCCACTCGCTTAACCTTCAAACCATATCCAGTAAAAAGGAGAGAAAATAAAGTCAAATTCATAACTTTTGTCTTGAAGTTCAAATGATTTGAGCATTTATCATGCTTTTATGTAGAGTGCTTTCCATTTTATTTTATTTTTGTTTCTTTTACTGTTTCAGTAAACATTTAGTTTTAATTCTGATGTTGGAAAATCATAATTTTATTAAAAATAACAAAATATAATTGTTGGATGATCAAAGTCCCTCCGCTAATTTAGGAAATGATCATAGATTTATATTTAAAGAATACTCTCTCTATTGGTATGAGGCATTTTGGGGAAGCCTAAAGCAAACCCATGAGAGCTTATGCTTAAAGTGGACAATATCATACTATTGTGAGAGTGCGTGTTCGTCTAATATGGTATCAGAGTTATGTCCTAAATTTAGTCATGTCAATAGAATCTGGACAATATCATACTATTGTGAGAGTGCGTGTTCGTCTAATATGGTATCAGAGTTATGTCCTAAATTTAGTCATGTCAATAGAATCTTCAAATATCGAAGAAAGAATTGTGAGCCTAAAAGGTGTAGTCAAAAGTGACTAAAGTGTCAAACAAAGGGTGTACTTTGTTCGAGGGCTCAGAGAAAGGAGTCGAGCCTCGATTAAGGGGAGGCTATTCGAGAGCTCCATAAGCCTCTTGAGGCTTATAGTATACTTTGTTCGAGGGAAGGATTATTGAGAGTGAGTCTCACGTTCTATTGCTTTTATGCTTTTTTTTTTTTTTTCATTTTTATTCACATTTTTTAGTAAATTCCCCAAGTTGCCTTTGTTGACCTTGTAAAAGTTAATAATGAAATTAAGATGTATTAAATTATAGTATATATGATTTTGTTAAAAAATTTAAATTTTAAATATAATATTTTATTTTGGCTAAATCTCCTTTCTTTAAGCCAAATTTGGTTTAATTATAAATGTTAAATGTTAAACAATATAACAATTTTTTTTATTAAAAAAGATTGAAAATTTAAAAAATAATTTGTAAACTAAATTTTATTTTTATTTTTTTTATTTAAAAAGGAGTTTACATTCTTTATGAAATTGTTTTGAAGAAAATAGGTAAAATAAAACAGGTATTTATTTTACGGTAATTCGGTGCGGGATTTGATAATTGATCGCGTAATATCTACGGGGAGATCTTGCGTATCGGATCGTTGTGTTCGTCGGGCTTCGCTTTTGCGTCTAGAATCAACAACGCACAGCTCTAAATTAATCGCCTGTTTTAGGGTTTTAGTAATCTCTAAATTCTGCTTGAAGGTTCATACATTTGTCTCCAGTTTTTCCAAGATCGCTCTTTCCCTTTGTCTGCTGCCTCTCTTTGAAGCTCTAATTTTGAAAAACTGCAGCATATATGGCGGATGATTATTGGAATCGGCAGCAGCCTCTGCTTCCCTCGCCTGGCATGCTTAAACGACCTCGTGTGGAATATGGTATGTCTATGTGTTTATTATGTTTAATTTGGTTTCTTTTCTTGAATTCGTAAGCATTCTTGTTGCGTTTGATGGTATTGCAGCTATTCGATGGTGAATTTTGATGGGCTTATTCCATAAAAGTGTCTGAAAACTAATGAAAACGTTCTTGTATTGTTTGTTTTGATTTGTTAATTTAGTTGTGAATAATCAGTGTTCATAAAGCAATTGAATTCGGGTTTGTTCTGATAAAGTTGTAGTTGAAAATTCTGAATGGAGAATGTATCTGATCCGAGAGGAAATACTACTGCGGAGTGATGTCTGTCACGGCATATTAGAACAATTTGATGCTCCAATGCACTTCATCTGATAGTAGAGATAAGACAATTTTTCTTTTTTTTGGTTCTAGTGGTGGATGTGCAGCCAAGTTCTTCAAAAACCAGTAAAAGGGCCTTACTAAAGGGTTTTTTGTTCTTGATTTCAGTAACATTTGGCGGTGGGGAGATTCTGGGCCTTATTAAAGATTACAATCTGAGGTCCCTAGGATGAAAACCTGATAGGTATCTCATTTATTTACCATTAGAAAACAAGTTAGAGATTATAGCCTATTGATAAGTCACTGATTTGAGAGGGCCAATCTTCTCTCCTGGAAAACACACCCTATCCAAACTACAGGAAGATATATATATATATATATATATATATATATATCTAGAAAAAGGGAGCATACGCATAACTTTTGGGAAGTTACAGGTCCCTTTCTAACTTCCTATTCAAATTTTCAAACATAAAAACTGTCTATAAAACTGAATACTCTTATCACCGTTCGGAAGTGAATTCCCCTGTTTATTCTTCTTAGCATGAACTGTAGTAAATGAGGTCTAACAAAACCCTAAACCAACAACGACCCTTTTGTGCTGGAAGCCTTGGTAGTAAGTAGAAAATGAAAAGTAGTCCCAATGTAAACTTTATACAATATATTTTTCTAAATGCACCTACCTATTTTAAGCCCCTCCTTAAGCCGTCCGCAGTGGTAGTTGAAAAATTCTGTAGGAATTCCTTGTGGAAAGATGGAACTTAAGTCGAAGGAAGTTATCTTGTTAATTAGTGTAAGGATCCAACTCTTTAAGCTGGAAGGATTGTTACCACATGGATGCGTGAGTGGACTTTTGAAAGCAAAACAGAACATGAGTAAGCTAAACAAAAACGTTTCAATAATAAATACTAATTAAAATTCAAAGCAACCTTGAGTTTGGGATCCCAACGAAACATTTATTTTCAAAGCTCAGCGAATATATATTTAAAATAATTACAAATCAAGTAATGGAAGTATGGAGTACATGAATGGGAAAATTTTAAAGTTCCGGGAAGTTTTAGTTTGATATTGTCTTTGTAGTCAAACCTGAATGCCCTCACCACACACCTTGTAGATTCATGTACCATATGAAAAGGAAAGACAGGTAGCATGAGTGAGTATAAAAAAATATTCGGTAAGTAGCCTCATATGAGAGGCTGAAACTGTATTCATACTTAAAACTCATGATATTGAAAGCATGCAAAGTCCTGGCTAATTATACGCCAATGTGTTCTGATACATAAGGGCCTTAATTGAAAATATGGAAACATCCTGTCTAAGTGAACAATTGGCCAATCCCAAACTATACCAACTACATTGCTTCCGTGGGTCAGTCCAGTAGATAAAATGTCACTAGAGATTAGTTGACAACTCTTTAGTAATGTTAGACCTATCCCATCATAGCACCTCATGAAAGCATTCCTGATCATCAACTATAGTGCCTATGCTGGTCATTCCTGGAAGACCAAGCGAGTTAGTTGGTGGCTCTTTAATGGAGCTAGACCTTCCTAACATAATACCTCATGAAAAACTTTTAACTAATATATAAGGGACTGATCCCAAAGCAGAACCAACTATGGTTCCTATGTGCATTAGTCTTGAAAGACAGGACACTGCTAAAGGTTAGTTGACAACCCTCTAGTAGAACTCAGCCTATTCCAACATAATACCTCATGAAAAACATACATAGCGTAATGTGCAGGGAAAGACAATTGTCACAAGGATCATCATGAACTTAGGAGTAAATATACATGTAACTGAGATCCTTTAATCATGCTAAACACTATTTCATTCATCACCAGACCATTTAAATCTCAGACCCCTCTAATCACCATGCTAGATAACATACTTAACATCACAGTTTATTCTAAACCGATGACCCAATAGTTCACATATGCATTCCATATTTCCTGTACTCCAAAACTTTGGATATAAACTACCATGGGTTGACCTAGCCAATAAGGGGCAGGTAAATAATAAGGGGTTTAGAGGGAATGAATACAAGTCATGGTGGCCACCTATCTAGGATTTAATATCCTACCTATTTCCTTGGCTAGTAAATTTAGTATAGTTAAGCAGTTGTCCCATGAGCATAGTTGAGGTGTGCAAAATCTGGCCTAGATGTGAGGATCAGGCTCGTGATCTTCTACCATAATAATGTTTAGATACTTCCATAAATTTTGTTTGGGCTTGATCCACATTTGTTATGTACAATTGCTGACATCCTGCTATAGTTTTTAAGCCTTTCTGAAGGAATTTTTCACTCAATTTCCTGAAGTAGATACTGAGGATTTTTTGAAAGAAAATTTTACTTGATTTGCAAATGGTTTTTTGAGACCTTCAATTTTCTCTTTAATTTTTCTTTATAGAGGTTCCTTGTCCATCTAACATAACGTAATGTTAAATAGAATTTAGATTGCGAGGACAATGAGATTAGATGTGTGGAATATGTGCATGACTGAACAGTTAAAACGATCTATTTAAATAGTAAAAGAGGAATTCTTTACTGATTGAACATTATTGTTTTAATTTAATATTACTATAGTTATGTACGGGACCTATTTTCTTTGACATATCTTTTTATTCCTTCGCTGTAGTGGCATCTGTTGTTTAATGTCTGTAATAATCTCATTTTGTTTTGTTTTGTTAGCAGTTTTCCTCCTTTTTTTAAAAAAAAGAAAATAAAAAATAATAAAATGGAAATGGATTTAGACCTTTCTTCTGTCTGCAGAACTTCCATCCTCTGGATTTCCTCCCGGGCATGATATGCACAGTCATTTATCTAGTGATGATCGTAGTGGTCCTCCGGCTGTAAAAGATACACAAGCAATAGGGTCAGCATATGATCGTTATCTCCAAAGTGTGGTATGAAGAAATCTACATTTATTTTCTCTTCTTGCATCCAGTTTGAGTGCTGAAAACTTGTCATAATTGCTTTTGAAGCAACTTTCTTCTGCTGCATCCGGAGAAGTACCTACCCTTGGGGAAATGGGGATGGGAAGGCCTATTGCAAACAGAATCCCAGTTGGGAGTAGAATGCCTGGGCCTTCAATTCCCGATCCTGTTGTAATGAGTCGTCCTCCTGCAGTCTCTCCTGATCTTGCACCTAATGGTCGGAATATCGAGTATGGTAATCATCTTCCGGTAGAGTCAATAAACAGACCCGGACGCGAAACTGTTCCTCTTCCTCCTGATGCCTCAAACACTTTATATGTTGAAGGACTTCCGTCTGATAGCTCCAGGAGGGAAGTAGCTCGTATCCTTTTTCTCAGTGTTGATGCCTCTGCAAAACTATATTGATTTTTCTCTTCCCTTTCAATTATTTACATAAAAAATTGCGTTCCTTTACGTCGATATAGATATTTTCCGTCCCTTCGTGGGATATAAAGAACTGAGACTTGTGAGCAAAGAATCTAAACATGTAATAGACCCTTGTTTTTTATTTACCTTTGATAACTCCCAGGCACGTGCTAACGTTTACTTTGTTTTTCATGTCGCATTTGTTTCGAAATATAGCGTGGTGGGGACCCTCTTATATTATGCTTTGTAGATTTTGCAAACGCAGCCTGTGCAGCAACTGCCATGAGTGCATTGCAAGGTACAAATTTCTTCCGCACATGCTTTTGCAGTTTTTATAGAAGCAATATTTTCCCGTTGTCACTTCTTTTTACTCGAGATAGAAAAGATGAACGTCTAGGTACATGTTTAGTTCACTTTTCTGCTTTAAATGGACAAAATTTGCAAGTAGTCTGATCTTTTTGTTGAAAGAATTCAAAAGAGATGCTAAAAAACTGTCTGATCTGCACAGGTTATAAAATGGATGAACAAGACCCGGATTCTAACTACTTAAGACTACAGTTCTCACGGCATCCAGGGCCGAGGTCTGGCACTGGAGGATCGGGCGGCAAAAGGTGAACAAGGTTGAGAGAAAGGACAATGACCAATTTAAATGGGAAGCTTTCATCTTCTGGTGTACATTGTACTAGCTGCTCTGCTTGTACGCCCATTATTATAACTACTTAGAGATGCTGTTAAAGTTAGGCAAATTTTAGACGACCCCATATTAAAGTTGCATGTAAATTTAAGAGGCTTAGATTCGGAGGGTTTCAATGGTCAAACAATTTGAACGAATATGGTATTTGTTGAAAGAAGAGTACGCAAGTGATTATTTTTAATTGATTTCTTATTGAAATTATTTGAAAATATTTTGTTATATAATACAATATTCTTCCACAAAATAAATAAATAAGTATGTGTCAAAAATGATGTCGAGTTCTCTAATTTGAATGGTAATGGTTGGTGGAATTTAATACAACCAATTCAATTTATTTGACCAATCATCCCTCCTATCTTGTGACTCGAGAAATTGGTCGAAATTTTTTCAGTTTCACCGGGTAATCAAATAAAGTTACCCTATGTGGACACGGACATGTAGTTTTTATATATGATGTATGTATGAGATGCCAAGCTTTCAATAGGAAATGGGGTCTCATAAGCTCCTTCATCTGTTCTTTCGTGCTCCTCGCATTGCTCATTTCAAATTTGCCCTCAAAATTTGCTGCACACCATAGTTACCCTTCTCCTCCTCCGTCGCCGCAGCAGCTACGTCCAGTGCCACCACCGAATCGCTCAGCACCGGCATCCATGATACGTTATACATCGAAGTCACAGAGGTCAGCCCCGCCACCTAGCCAGCGGCAGTGGCCAAAGGAGTACAGCCGTAAAACGCCGCCACCTCCTTTCTAATACTTCTACTATATATATTTGCATCATATAAAGGTGGAGAAGCTTTAGTTTTTATGTAATAGGGATTTATGCATTAAGGAATGCAGAGCCAATGCGAAGATTTGTTGTTTATCTATTCAATACTAAACGTGAAACAATGCATTTTACTGCCCTATATTGCCTCTCATGGCCTTTCCAGCATTCACAGTCATTTGTGCATGGGAGCTCTACCTTTACCTAAAAAATATAAAAGTAGCACGTGATTTGAGTATTTTAACTTTAACTTTACCTGAAAAATATAAGGGTAGCATGCGATTTGAGTATTTTAGCTTTAACTTTACCTGAAAAATATAAGGGTAGCATGCGACTTGAGTATTTTAGCTTTAACTTTACCTGAAAAATATAAGGGTAGCATGCGACTTGAGTATTTTAGCTTTAAGTTTACCTGAAAAATATAAGGGTAGCACACGACTTGAGTATTTCTTAAAATACTCCGTAAGTCACCTAAGTATTAGGGTTAATAATGCTATCAGACACATAATATAACATAATATAATTTTGACCTATTCACCTAAGTATTAGGGTTAATAATGCTATCAGACACATAATATAACATAATATAATTTTGACCTATCCTTTCTTAAGCTCTTTCTAGTTTTGGATAAGGTTGGATGTATATATATATATATATATATACGCATGAGGTCCCCATGGTTTTCATTCATAACATAACATTAACATGATATATATATATATATATATACGCATGAGGTCCCCATGGTTTTCATTCATAACATAACATTAACATGATTCACTTTTTACTTTCATCTATGTCATAATACATATATGTATCATGTATATATAGCATCATAGTCATTACATAGAGAACAATCATATAACATAAATAAATATGATACTAAGAGCAAGGGGCATGCACCATCATACATCATGTTGGATGATGAAAGTCCCACATCGGTTAATTTAGGGAATGATCATGGGTTTATAAGTGAGGAATACTAACTCCATTGGTATGAGGCCTTTTGGGAAGCCCAAAGTAAAGCCATGAGAGCTTATGCTCAAAGTGGACAATATCATACCATTGTGGAGAGTCGTGTTCGTCTAACACATCATTCAATATGTTGGCTGTGGGGTTCAAACCCACATGCACTTATGTGTAGAAAATCTTAAGTCTTCCCCTTAACCTCTCGGACAAACCAGCTAATATGTCTTCCTAATTCGGAGAGTCGTGTTCGTCTAACACATCATTCAATATGTTGGCTGTGGGGTTCAAACCCACATGCACTTATGTGTAGAAAATCTTAAGTCTTCCCCTTAACCTCTCGGACAAACCAGCTAATATGTCTTCCTAATTCGGAGAGTCGTGTTCGTCTAACACATCATTCAATATGTTGGCTGTGGGGTTCAAACCCACATGCACTTGGAGAGTCGTGTTCGTCTAACACATCATTCAATATGTTGGCTGTGGGGTTCAAACCCACATGCACTTATGTGTAGGTGTTCGTCTAACACATCATTCAATATGTTGGCTGTGGGGTTCAAACCCACATGCACTTATGTGTAGAAAATCTTAAGTCTTCCCCTTAACCTCTCGGACAAACCAGCTAATATGTCTTCCTAATTCAAACAAATATACAAATATTAAAGTCATTAACGAACTTTCTTTTTATTCAATACTCTAATGTCTTTCTATTCCAAAATTAATCTTAAAATATTTATATATTTCTACTCGAAAGTATGTTTTATCCTACACGCATTCACTAAAAAATTGTTATTTTGGAATTGAGTTCCTTTCCTTTTAAGTATTTTAATTAAACAAACTTTAAAGATCAAGTCAATGTCTTAATTAACAATAACCGAGTTGAATACATAGCCTTAGCCTTGTTTAATGAGTTGATTTGACCTTCAATTTGAAATGACATTTTAATATTGATCCACCTCTTCGGAGGCCCAGCCTACACATTGTTTTGCAGTCCAAACCCACTACTAGTATATATTATCCACTTTAACTTATTACGTATTGTCGTTAGTCTCACAGTTTCAAAACGCGTCTACCACATTGGATAGTGTTTAAAGTACGATCAAAGTCTCACCTTTACTAAAAAAATGAAGAGATTAGGAGTATATAAGTCAAGAAACAATATTTGTATGACGTCTTTTTTATCGAATTAAACGTTCAAACTTAAAACTTAAGGTTATTGTTTGAGCTCGAAGCCTGTACCCCCGAGTGGCTCGAGGGGCTGGTGTGGTGTGGTGTGGCACTATATAAAGTCCATGAAAACCCCATTAAAACACAACACACCCAAAAATGAAGCCTTTAGTGTCCTCTCTTGTTTTCGTCATCTTAGCAGCATCCCTCATTGTCCAATCTTCTCCCATCAAAAACTTTCATTATTATTCACTGCCCTCTCTTCGTCACAAAAATATTTTTACGCTATTGTCAAGTGAAACGTCCTCGTCGTTGGCATCGACGCCGCCCGTCCTTCAAGCACCATGGCCTCCCATATACCTCCCACCTTCGCCCCCGCCCCCGTTCTAGATATATTATATGATTGTGTCTAATGTTTATGCATAATAGAAGTAAATTGTTCTTAAAAATGAGATAATGTATTTGGTGTTAAATGCAATAAGAGTTTCGTACAAATAAATAATACTATTTGCATCCACAACGTAACGTGATGATATCTATGATATAAAGTCTTAATACTCAAATCTGTCGGCCTCTTTGTTTGTGATTTTGAGTTTTGGGTTCTTATATTATTTTATCTATTCGCTAATCTCTATTATAAAACGATCACCTCCAAAAATTACTACTACCTTTAATTACCTATGTTTTACTATTAAATATATCATAGATTTTATAAACTTAAGTTCATCAACATCATGTGACCTAAGGGAAAATTTACTGGGTGTCACGTGTGACATAAATTTTGTGTATAGCTAGCAGATATTGTCTTGTTTGGAATTTCCCTTTCGGACTTTTTCTCAAGGTTTTTAAAACGCATCTTTGAATAGTGTTTCGTTCTTCCCACCACTCCCTAGTGGATGCCCTTTAAAAACCTTGAGGAAATTCGTTTTCCCCCCCTCTTCCTAGTGGATGCACTTTAAAAAAGTTGAAGAAATATAAGGTTCCCAGATCCACCCCTAGCAGATATTGTTCTCTTTGGGCTTCCGTTCGGGCTTCTCCTCTCTCTCCTCAAGGCTTTAAAATGATATTGTTCTCTTTGGGCTTCTCCTCTCTCTCCTCAAGGCTTTAAAATCCAGCAGATATTGTTCTTTGGGCTTCCTTTCGGGCTAGGGGAAGGTTTCCACACCCTTATGGGCTTTTCCTTTCGGGCTTCTCCTCAAGGCTTTAAAACGCGTCTGCTAGGGGAAGGCTTCCGCACTCTTATAAATGATGATTTGTTCACCTCCCCAACCAATGTGGAAGGTCACAATCCACCCCTTTCGTGGCCCAGCGTCCTCGCTGGCACTCTTTCCTCCAATTGATATGGGACTGCCCCAAAATCCACCTCCTTTGGGTCCCAACGTCCTTACTAACACACCGCTTCGTGTCTACCCGCCTTCGAGAAACAACAAGAAACTCTGATACCATTTGTAACGGCCCAGATTCACCACTAGCAGATATTGTTTCTTTAACCTTTCCATTTCGAGCTTTCCCTCAAGGCTTTAAAATGCGTCTACTAATGGAAGGTTTTCACACCTTTATAAATGGTGGTTTGTTCTCCTCTCCATCCAATGTGGGACATCACAAAAAAGTTCGAAAGAAAAAAGTTCAAAGAAGACAATATCTAGTAACGATGGGGTTGGGATCTATAATATAATTTCTCCTTCAGTTGAAGTGGGGGTCAAGCAGCCAAAGCTCACCGGGTTTCCAAGTAGGTTCTTATTTGCATTATAAGCATGATCAACTTGCTTCCCCAAATGAGCATATAAAAAGGCATTATCAAAATCCAATCTTGGCATTGGAAACAGGACAATGAGATCTCTAATAATGGCCTCTCACCTTTTATCTCTTCTTCTCATTGCTTCTCTCTCTTTACATCTCCCATCACAATTGGCTGCTGCTGCACGTTACAACATTCACCCATATCAATACCAACTTCATCCGCCGTCTTCGCCGCCGCCTCCGCCTGAGAATCTCTCCTCTCCACCGGCACCCAAGAAGCAATACAAATGGTGGAGGTCACTGCTGCAGAGGCGACCGCCACATAAGATGCCATGGCCAATAAAGGCCACCCGTAAATCGCCTCCGCCGCCTTTCTAAAGCACCGCTAATGTTAGCATCATTAGCTTAATTGTTTTGGAATTGAAATGCATTTTCCGATGGTTCTTATGAATTAAGAGAGAGAGAGAAGGATCTATTATTGTCGAGCTGCCCACAAGTCAATAATATTGGCGGCTCTTATATTTTCTAGATTATGATAACTATGAGTATAT